TCTCTCTCTCTCTCTCTCTCTCTCTCTCTCTCTCTCTCTCTCTCTCTCCTGCTTCACTCTCACGAGTTGGGTGTCCTGTCGGACTGCGGAACCCAGACGCTCGAAGCCTTCCACCTCGCAGCCCCAGCTCCCAGCAGCCTCCCCATCCTCTCCCTCTCCCCTCGCCTCCACCGCCGCCGCCATCTGCTCGCGGGGCTCCCGGCCTCTGGGACCGGCTGGGCCCAGGACACCGGCGGAGAGGCGCTCACTGGCGGTGCGAGGAGACCAGCAGCCGCCGGGAAGCCGGCTCTCCACGGTGGCCGCGGCTCCGGGCTCTAGTCCCCCAGGCTCCCTCGGCTGACGGCCCGGCGTGACTCTTTTAGGAGCCAGCGTTGAGCGCTGGACGTCGGGTGTTTGCTATTTGTTAATTTTCCTAGTCTGTAGGGAAGAAGTGGGGCTAGAAATGACCCCAGCGGTTCGGAAACTCTAGTGTAGGCTGTTCAGCTGACTGCAGGGACCTGCTTGCCCGAGGGCGAGCCCCAGTGCGCGGGACCAGAGCGACAGATGGGACCGAGAGACCGAGACGCGGAACAAGGGGGGCACATCGAGAGAGAAAGGGAGAGCGAGAACCAGAGAGAGACTTGGGGAGCGTCATTGCGAGGCCCTCGTTACCTCTGCGCCGCGACGTTGGCGTCCACCACGCCGACATTCCGGACCCAGGACCTGACCGAATCCATCTCAGCGCCCAGCGATTTGTCTTTCAGAGCTGGTCCTCTTCCCAAAGTATCTTGAATCCCAAACATTTAAAAAGTCTGGTCCTCTCCTGCCGCGTTAAAAACAAGAGCACCACACCAGTCCGGGTTGTTCCCAACGCTGCCACCAAACCTTCTTCCTCCAAAACAATCCAAGAAAAGGGATCAAGTGCTTCTTGAAGTTTCGGTCTCGCTCGGAGAAGAAGAAAAAGAAGTACCGGGAAAAAATTCAGTTCTGCTGCACGCGCGGGGTGGTGGCGGCAGTATTCAAAGTTGGTGTTTTATCCGCCGCAAGTTCAGATCTGCCGCCTCAGACTCTTTACCCTAGGTCGCTCGCATCCTTCCAGTCACAGCGTTTGCATCCAGAAACTGATCACAATTTAGAAGCATCACCTGTTCTGGGAGAAACAGGAGAAGATTGATGGCTGCCTAATCGCTCCCGTTCCTCCTGGTCCCCCCCTCCCTGTTCCTCCCCTCCGCTCCAATTTAGAAAAAAAAAATCCCCAACAGGATCAGTAGTAAAAGGAAGGGGAAGACCCCGAGTCCAAAGGAGGCGGTGGCTGAGATCGCCACAGAGCCAGGCTGCAGCCGCGCGCGAGCCCCATGAATGGGTTACTACGGCCCAGGCCGCGGGAGGCGGAGCACCGGCCCGATAAAGAGCCTCATTTGCATGGACGCTCGCGATTGGCCGGCGCCGGGCAAGCTAAGCGGACGTCCTTCGGCGGCGCGCGCCACGCTCGGCGTTGCCAGGAGTCCTGGAGGTGAAAGGGGACCTAGGACTGCGGACGTCGGTGCCCTTTTCAGGGCTCGGGTGGCGTTTGCGGGATGGGAGCCCCAAAACCCTACTCTGAAGCGGGATAGCTGGGCGCTGCGGGCCGGGAAAGCCCTGGCTCTGCCTGGCGGCGGGAGCGCGAAGTCTCGGTCTGTCCTCTCTCTAGTTGCAGGTTTTTTGTAGTCTGCCTGGAGGCGTTACTCATTGCCGGGGACTAAACTGTATGCTCACAGGCGTGTCGTGCTCAAATGTAGTGTGGCCCGCTGGTATTTGGGTTTTGTGCAGCTGTCCTCCTAGACAGCAACCCAGTCTCCTGCACGGCTCTCTCGAGTCTCCCGGAGTTACAGGGTGACGCTCCGATCGTGTGCAGTCTGCGTGTTGTTCAGAGAGAGGACGTGTGAACGAAAGCAGAGAGGGTGTGAGTGGAGGAGAAGGAAGCTCAAATAAACAGAGTGCCTGGGAAAGTGGTCAGGGAGCTAAGGAAAATACCTCGGGGCCGGTGGGCGGGCGCCTGCAGGATGGCACTGGAGCACCCGAGAGCTTACTGACGAATCCGGAGCCGCTGAGTGTCAGTAGCCTGCGCTTACCGCCCCCCCACCCCACCCCGGAGTGCCCGCGCCCCTCAACTCCTGCGGCCTGGAAAGCGGCAGGGGGCGGGGGGGATGGGGGTGAACCAGGAGGAAATCGCTAAACTTTGCCAGTGGCGCGCGGTCGCGGAGGTAGTCGCCGCATGTTGGTGGCCTGGAGGCGGCGGCCGCTCAGCCAAACAGATGAAACCCTAGCCAGCTTTCTGAAGCACGCCGGGCCGCTCACGGAGCCTATTAAAAATCCTCCCGGCTGGGTGTTATTTTCTTGCTTCTCCTTTTGTATTCTGATCTGTGCATAGATCCGCTGCTGAAATCTAGAACACCAGCGCGAAAACAGATTTGAAGACAATGAATGCAAATCTGTGCTCAAAGACCATCTGCCGTGGAGGAGACAATCAGCTGTTCCGCAGTTAGAGCGACTGCTCTGTCTCCCGGCCTCGTTACGGCGAGGGGTGGAGGCGGAGGGTGGGGGGGCTTTGCAAAAGCCTGGATGACATTCGGGAGACTCCCCAACACACACACCAGAGGACTCAATTTTGAGAGTAAATTGACTCCCGAACACATCCCTCAGGTGTAGGTGAGCGCTCACAACTGAACTGCAATGCTTTGCCGCTAGAGGACACAGCGCCTTGCAACCCGTTGGCCCGAGTTTCCTGGAGCAAGCTCTCACTTCCAGAAAAAAAGCAAGGGCTCTGTGGAGAAAGGGCCCTGTCCGCGCTTTCACCCAATCCTGGGAGCAAACCTTTACCCCCAATCTGGGCGGACTGCGGAGCGCTCTGGAAGCGCAGGTCTTTACTGCAAAGATTTCGCTTGAAACCCGATGTGGGGGTAGCGGAGGCAGCGCGCTGTCTTTCCGCGAACAGACTTAGAGCGAGGGTCTAGGATGGTTGATTTAGGAGAGGAGAGCCTCACCTCCTCATTCTGGGCTCTGGCTGGGGCCTCCTGGTTGGGCATAAAGCAGTGGATGAGCAATGCTGCACCATTGGTCTGTTGTAACAAGCCAACTGAGATACCAATTTCCCAATAAACAAGAGCGAGGCTGGAAGAGAAATTTGTGAAGATGAAACTTGTTACACTGTTTCAACTCAGCCATTGTGTCACCGCAGATTTTATGAATAATGTTGGCTCCTGTAGAAATGAGCCACCCGGCTGGCTCCTTTGACCTCTAGCTCTCTCTTTATAAATCTTACTAAACTTACCGCACCCACCCCCACCCCCTCCTTCAATCTCATCCAGGGTCAACGACCAGAGGCGTCCCAGGGCCTCAGGAGCAGGGTGAGCGACGTCATTGAGTCCGGTGGCTTCCCTGCACACCCCACCCACACCCCAAGAGACTTCTTATCTGCCAGACTTTGACATTGCCCGGAAACCGTCCAAAGAGCAGCCACCAGGCAGCAGCGGACCCAGGCCTGGTCCCCGCACCTCGCTCCCTGTGGCCCGTGTTGGCTGGGGTTAAAGGGCAGAGCCTGGGTCGGCAGCTAGCTCTTCTCTCCCAGAACAGCTGCCACCCAAATGATGCCCCTCGGGGAGCGAATGAATTAGTTCTTTCTCCAGGCTGCCCGCTCACCAGCCCGCCCCGCGATCCAGGCGTCCTCCATCTCTAGTGGGCTGCTGGTCCCCAAAGATAACTTTAGGGCCGCAAAACCCTGCTGGGAAGTAGTTAACTGGGACCCACGGCCCGGAACTCAGACCGAGAAAGAAGCACGCTGTTCCGTGGCCGCGGACAGCGTTCGAGTGGAACGGCCGCAGCGACCCTGGGGGCGCGGGCCACAAGCCAAGGGGCACCCAAGTGCCCACTCCGTGGGGACGAAGGCCCCGGCAAGTGCGGCGCAGGGGCAAAGAGGGAAAGTGGTTTCCTGCTCAGTAAGGCGGAGCTTCGGCGTGTGGCGGCAGCAAGCGTTTGTGCCACTGAAGTTGAATTTAATTATTTTCGCGGAGATTTTAGAAAGACGGTGGGCACTGCGCAGGCCACCCGCGCGGAAGAAGCGTCAGTTCGGGCTGGAGCGAGCAGGGCCACCCGCGCGGAAGAAGCGTCAGTTCGGGATGGAGCGAGCGGCTGCGGTTGCGCCAGGAAGGTGGCTCCCATCTTCATCGCCTCCGGCTACCCCAGAACAACCCTCCTTCCAAGTGCGCTCCCAACACGTGCCCCAAACACAGCCGCTCCCGGGGCCCTGCCGGTACAGCTGCGGCCCGGGGAAGCCCAGCGCTGGCCGCGTGCGTCTCCAGGGCTCCGCCCTGCGAACCTCATCCCTGCCCTTCGTCTCGGTAGGAAAACTCCAAGCGAAAATTTATTCAAATTCTTCCCAGTCATCTATTGACGCAAAAATTGCGATGGTGACAGTGGCTTTCCGTATTTTGCTCTATCGCCTCCTTTGTTCACTCTTTTCCCTAGTGACCCGTCCCCCCCCCCCAAGATTCACATCTGCCCCCCAGTCAGATGGAGTCCAGTTTCTTGGCATTAGTTCGAAGCCCCCTTCCTCCCATCTCATCTAGTCCAGTTCTCCCGAGCACCGATTCTCTCTTGCCCACAAGGGGTTTGGGATGTTTTTTCTTAGTAATTGCTCTGGGCCGGTTCCTCCTTTGCTGGGGCCTTGAGGTGAATTTACAGGTGTGGTGACCATCCAATTACTTTATGACCACTATCCTCCCTACACCCACTTACCCCTAGTGTGATTGGTCTTTGCAATCCAGCTAGTGCCAGGGAATTTGATGCACAGGGAAACCCAGTCTGGATTTTGTAAATGACATCAGTGGTAGTCCCCATAGCCTCTCTTTGGGTGTGAATTTTCCCACTTATTTCTTTTTTACTGAAACCATTGGTCTTGATTTGCCTGGTGGAAACACATAATTTTGTTTGCAAACTCGGGGTCTGATCGAATATCTAAGTCACAATGAAATTGTGTATCAAGAAATTATTCTTGTAAACTATCCAACTTTATAGACTTCCGCTCCAAATTCCAACTTTGGTATCTCTTAGCGGAAACTAGATTTGTATGCCTTGGTAATGGAGAATTCTCTGGAGAGGGAGAGGGCGAATTATTTTATTCATACATGCAAATTTCTGCTGAGGACAGGCCAGAGATACCTTTTATGGCGATTCCCTGAGAGGAGCATTGGCTTCTTGGATTTTTTATTTGAAATCCTGAAGGACAGTCCAGCGGGAACGGGGCGGGATTACTGGGTCATAGAAGAACTTCTCCTAGATTACACTTGTGCCACTGCAATGACTTTATGCAGAACGAACGGGAGGCAAGTTTCGACCTCTTCCTGTTTTCTTACTGCCTTTCCTCTCTCGCCTCATCCTTGCCTTGCCTTTCAGTATTTCCTTCAGAAATCCCCGTCTTCCCCCTTCTCTTCCTGCGGGAGTGGAGTGAGAGAGGACTGCGGAGCCGCGGAAAGGTCAGCAGAATAAATTCCAGAAGCTGCGGTCCAGGTTTGAGGGCTGCTGGGGCTGTCAGTGCTACGCTTTCGGGGTTGGGGAGTGAGTGAGTGAGTGAGTGAGTGAGTGAGTGAGTGAGCGAGGGAGCGCGAGTGAGCCCTTTTTAGGCTGCAAAGGGTCTATTAGAAGGAAATGCCTGCATGGCCTCCATTCAAAACTGGGGTGCCATTTCTCCTATAGGTGGAGGGTGCACATCACTCTTTGAGTTCCAACTACTGGGTTAGTGGAATGTTGGAGGGAAACAGCCAGTTGCCTCTCTGGGAGCAGGAGCAGAAGGTGTGTGTGTGTGTGTGTGTGTGTGTGTGTGTGTGTGTGTGTGTGTGTGTGTGCCGGGGTGCATCCCCTTCTACCTAGAACTAATAGCAGAAGCGACTTATTAAGGGTAAAATGGACCCGCTTTCAAAGACGCTGGACGGGGCAGGTCTCCAAGAAGGTAAGTAAGGAACAAACGGAATGAAAGGAGGACCTTTATCCAATCCCTCCTGGCTGCCAGATCCTGCCCCACAGTTTCTCA